AAAATATAAATGTATCTAAATTAATTTGAGGAGATGCACTGCACCAGATTTAGCTGATTAGTCTCTGGGCAGGTTGACACACAAACGATACAAAATACCACACAACATCCTCCCAAGCTTCCCCCCTACCCACAGAGACGGGCTTTTTCTGCCTTTTTTTTAGAGACAGGACAGCGGATAGAGTCAGAGATCAGGGAGAGGGGTGGGGGGGGAGAGTGGGGAATGACATGCAGGAAAGGAGCCACAGGTCGGATTCGAACCTGCATGGAGGACTACAGCTGTTAGACTCTCCTACGGTTGCTGGGAAGTGCAAAGCAAAATTACAAAGTGTGAAACGCTTTTACAAAATTTGAGACAAATTTACATTTTTTTATTTACATTTTATGAAACAAAATTACAAGATGTGAAACACGAGGGGTCAAAATGTTTGTTTTCCGTGAAAAAACTGTAGTTTTGTATATTTGTTTGGGGACTGGTATATGTGTTTCACATTTTGTAATTTTGTTTTATAAAATGTAAAAATGTTTTTAAAAATGTAAAATTGGGTTTCACATTGTAATTTTGTTTGCACTTACCAGCCACCGTACTTTCCACTACCAATCCCACCCCCAAATTTTTTTTTAGAAACAGAGAGGGGTGGGGGGGGGTCTACTTTAGTGGAGACCTTAACTTTAAGACACTGTGTGCTCGAACAACAATGTGGGACAGTTTTAAAAAACGAGCTCAGACTGAGTAACAGTCCTTATGTTAAAGACAATCTACAGTAAAGAATATTTCCTGTAGTCATAAAGAAGCTTCGTTAGTCAGACATGATGCCATTTGTCGTCCTCAGAGTCAGATTCAACTGAACCTGCAAAACTGAGAGAATGTTTCCCTCTCGTTCATCTTTAGATTTAGAGTCCAAACTTTCTGTTGATTTGATGATTATGTTTCTTATCGTTGAATGTGTGCTGCTGCTCTTCTTTCTGGTGCCCCCTCAGAAAAACAGACCTTTGATCTAAATGTGGCCGACCTGCCGACCTGTGGGTGGTGATGAGAGATGAGGGAGAGTGAGAACTGATTCAATGTACTGATGTCGACATGCAGGGTGGATCTGTGAACCAAAGTTGTTGAGGAGTCGATAAACGTCATCCTAAATCTGGAGTTAATCTCTCTCTCTCTCTCTCTCTCTCACACACACACGCAATACACACACACGCACACACACACACACGCACACACACACACACACACACACACACACACACACACAGACACACACGCACACACACACACACACACACACACACACACACACACACACACACACACACACACACACACACACACACACACTCTGCAGCCCTGACTGTGTGCAGTATTGTTTTCAAACATTTACAGTTTGCTTCATGTCGACTTAATTCGCTGATGTTGTTGTTTCGGTTCACTTTATTATTGTTTATTGCTCCAGTCATTTATTTTTTTTTAATTTTTTTTTTTTACAATTATTTTATTAACATATTCAAAATAAAGATTTAAATGAGAGAAACACTTGACCTCCCTGAGATGAAGACAGACTCTGAGCTGCATGGTTTAAATCTTCAGTGGAGAATAGAGCAGCGTGTGTTTCCTGTTTTCACCTCCTGATTCTAAATTCATCTTCTCATTTTTCCCTCTCTCCTCTTCTCGTCCCTCACGGCACATTCAAGGCAGAACATTTAAAGACTCCTTTTCTTTTGAAATTTAAATTTAAAAAATCATGATCATGATTGAACACGATGATAAACAGATTGTGCAATTATTCTGATTTCCAGGGAGTGAATTAATAAAACTAAAGACAGGTGACACATCACTTCCCCTCCTGCATTGACCTGCTTTAATTATCTGTAAACACACACACACACACATTATCAGTTGATGTATAAGTATGTGTGTGCACATGTAAAACACCCTGTGGATGATTACGGGATGAATTCAGCCACCTCTCCCCGCTACACGGCGCCCCCCTCACACACACACACAGAGTCATTATTGTCCCATTGATCCGTCTGATTCTTTACAGCAGAACATTATGGACGCCGTCTTTTTTGTCTTCCGTCTGCGGCGGCTCCCTTTGTGCTCCGCTCGTCCCTTTGAACAATGAATCATATTTAGCTACGAGAGGAAACAAGGAGCCCTTTGCAAAATCAGGAGGCGGCGAGTCAAAGAGAGAGAGAGAGAGAGAGAGAGAGAGAGAGAGAGCCAAGACGAGGCAGTGCACACACAGAGAGAGAGAGAGAGAGAAACATGAGGGCAGGACGGAGAGTTTAAAGGGTCCTGAGCAGAACTGAGCACCTTGAAACCCTTCTTCTTTCTTTATGTTTGGTCTTTAATTTAATATTGTGACATGATATAGAAAGCTTGAAACGTAAGCAACAAACCAGCCCGAAACATTTTGAAAAAAAAAACATTCCTCTAAACCCAGGCATTTCTGCTTCTTTGATCATGTAGTCCGTACTCATCAGGATGAAGAAAATAAGACCACAGAATGCAGAATGTCTGTGTTTATGTAGTGTCACTGTTTCTGTATCAAGTTGAATGCTTCTGTTTTTAAATCCTAAACGGCGAGCCAGGGACACGGGATGCAAATTATCCACGACTAGAAACCTGTGTGCATGACACCTACTTTGTGTTTTACATATGAAGCGATGCTCGTTTGCACGAGTCCCCGTTAAATAGACACACAAAAGAAAAGAAAGGTGAAATCTGGAGGAAAAAACCTTTGACATTATAAATCTCATCTGATGCTGATACGCTGTGTTTCAATCAGGAGAGACTTTATTAAGAATAAATAATTATTCAGGAAATAAATGTGGGTCAAAGTCTTGGACTCCATCATGACGACCTCATGTACTCGGAGGGGTAATGCGGCAGACAGCAGGATAGGACACCCCCCTAAAAACAAAAGAGTGAAAACAATGAGGAAATAAAGTAAGAGAAGGACGATAAGGACAGAGTTTGTTAGAGGCTGTAGGCGATGTTGAAGAGGAGAGTTTTAAGGGATTTCTTGAAGGTGGAGAGTGAGGGTGGGGAGGGTCTCTGATGGTTTTGGGGAAGTTAGTTCCAGAGGGTGGGAGCGGCAATAGAGAAGGTCCTGTCCCCCCAGGACTGATGGTTAGTCCTGCAGGAGGGGGCAGGAGGTTTGTGTCTGCAGGCCTGAGTGTGCAGGTGGAGGAGCTCAGACAGGTAGGGGGGATGAGCTCAGACAGGTAGGGGGGAGGAGCCAGGTTGTGGAGGGCTTTAAAGGTGATGATGAGGAGTTTGAAGTGGATATGCTGGGGGACGGGGGGCCAGTGGAGGTTATGATGGATGGGGGTGATGAGGTCACAGGTGCAGGAGTGTGTGAGGAGACGGGTAGCGGACTTCTGGATGTGTTGTAAAAATAAAAATAAGGAGATACACTAATCCGGTGAACGTGAATGTGCATGGGTAGTGGGTGATAATAACTGAGATTCTAGGGAGCTAAAGACACTCCAAGATATTAACCAGGAATACTGATGCAGGCGCCGTGTTTCTGCTGCAGAGTAAAAGATAAAAACGTAAAATGAGAGTATCTAAAAAGAGTTCAAATCACTTTTTCTTGGGTGTTTATGTAAAATCTGATAAAATATGATGCAGGATCCATTTTTTTGTGCAAGTTGTATCCAAAGAAAATATTTAATGCATGAATATCTTTTATTCTTGCATGAACTTTCAGCTTTGTCTATACAGGTTTTAAGGAATTTAAGCGTTTGAAGATGTGAATAAAACCAGATTCAGTGCTGGATGCAGTGTCAGACTTATTTCTTTGAACATGTCTCAGGAATTTTTGCTTCAATCGAAGGCCAAATTCAGGGAGAAAATGTACAATATGTAGTACCTGATGAGATCAGTAATCCCACACTCAGCATATTTACATCATCATAAATGTGTTGTTTGGATTCAATTCAATTCGATCGACAGTCGCCCAGAAACAAAAAGCAAAATAGCCTAACAACTGGATTTAAAATGTCGCTCAATCCTGATATGGCACCTTCTATGCCCCGCCCACTTCAAACCATAAAGACTAAAAACACAGAAATGTTCTGCATCATCCTAACTTTGTCTTATTCTCGTCTGCTCCTGCAGGGAGCACAGTAAATGTTTTCAGGTTTAATCCCCTTCAAACAGCAGCTGCACATTCTAAGATCAACATTTCTACTTATTAAAGTAAAAAAACACATTTTCAAAACAGAGTTAAACCATACACATCGTGTTTAGATTAAAAGCCTTCATCTGAATGACACAAACAGAAACCAGAGAGGCTTCATGGAGTTAGAATGCACTCACTTTTGGGGCCCCCTGCTGGTCGTGTCTGCTCCATCATTTAAGCTTCCACTGACTGGTGTTTTAAATAACAGTTAATCAATCACATTTCTCCTGGAGTTTTATTCATGTGCATCAGCAGTGTTTTGATCATTAGGCAGAGTTTTCCCCCCAGTGCAGGAGCTTCTGACTTCAGGCTGCCCTCGTCTTCACTGCAGTCACATTACTGCCTTTAAATCTTGACATCTAACCTCTGCAAGGTCAAAGGTGACACGTTCGTATATTTAGAAAAAAGCACGATAAAGTGCTGTCAGAGTTTCCTCCTCACCTTCTTCAATCCTCCCTGCTCCGTGCTCTCATCAGTGTTTCCCGTCTCTGCCTGCGCCCTGATTGATGCCGTCACATTAGATGTATGTGGAACACTGACTCTGGCAAATGAACACATCAACTGATGACCAGCTGTTTCTAATTATTATACACTGGTTAATTAGGACGCCGTGTCACCGTCAGCGGCAGCCGTGAACTGTGTGAAATTCATAATTCATGCTCTGCCGTCCAATCAGCGTCCTGATCCAAACGCTAGGCTTGGATGGAGAGGCCGCTGCCAAATATCTATTTGTGTGTATGTGTGTGTGTGTGTGTGTGTGTTCACGCCTCTCCCTCACACCTCTCTTTCTCTCTCTCTCTCTCTCTCTCAGCAGGGTGTGTGTGTAGGTGGCGGTGTGAAGTGTCTGGATCTCAAAGGTAAGCATCTCTCCGTCATTATTAAACATGATGGAGGACTTCATATGATGCAGAGTGATTCTGTGAGATGTTTAATTATATAAAAAAAAAATATGGAACAACACGTCATTAATATCTTCATAATCGTCCTTAATATCGTCAACATTTTACGAGATAACGAGAATAGAGTGTGACATCAGTTAATGACAGGCCTGTCAGGGGGATTTGAGTCGTCCTTTATCTCAATATAGTTATGTGTACATTCATTAAATGATTCGATTACTGCATCATTTTGGTGTTTTTTTTTACATTTTAAAACCACAACACACAACCTCAAAAGGCCTCAATGAAATCTGGGGCGCCCACACATAGCCTAGCTGCTTCGTCGGGCATGTGCAGATGTACAGAGGCTATAGTCCTCATGAAGCGGCCGTGGGTTCGAATCCGACCTCCGCCCTTTGCTGCATATTGTCTCCCACTCTCCCCTTCAAACATGTCCCGCCCCGCTTCAGCTGTCCTATCCAATAAAGGCAAAACAGGAACAGGCAGACTGAATTAGCTGAGGTGACACCTAGCAAACAGCTCCCAAATGTCACTCCAAGAGGCCCCGCCCCCTAATTCTACATCACTTTAATCCTTAAAATAATGTAAACAGGAGTTCATCCTGAAAAGTTATCATGAAGAGATAACTAGAGAACAACATTTGTGTTTTGTACCAGCTTGTAAACATGTTTATTTCAGCGTTGAAGTCGGATCTTTTAACATGGGGCTCTATGGAGACTGACTCACTATTGGAAACAGCCTCTAGTGGACACTTGAGGAAGTGCAGTCACTTGCACATTAGCATCGGCTTTGTTTTTAGTTTTCAACAATTTGATTTCCAAACCTCAAACTGAAATATAAGCCTCTTGCCTTTGGAACATCAGCATGAATAAAAACCTGAATCAGGATCTGATCTTGACTTTGATCGTTGAAAGAATTACCCGGATTCAAGCCTGTTAATCAGATACTTGGTTTAATCGTAGCTTGGTCGCCGTTCGTCGTCTCTCCTAACTGAAAAACCTTTGACAGAGTTTCACTTTAAAGGTGTTAAACCTCCTGCGGTCCTCACAGATATAGATAACCTCTGCAGCAGCCACGTGTGCACACAGCAGCAGCGGTGTGAAGTTGTGCGTTCGATGCCGTGATGGGCGTCACCGTTGTCACGCTCTGATGACTCTGACTGCGGGTGTCGCTGCCTTATTATCTCACAGACGCAGGGCGGATTAGAAAAATGGGATTTTAGATTCTGCCTCCACCTCACACACACACACACACACACACACACACACACACACACACACACACACACACACTCTGCTCCATCAGCTCAGTGATTATTATTACAAAAAAAAGAGGGGAAAAATCATTTTGTAAATAATTATGGTGCTAATTATCATCCCCCCTCCCGGTCTGAGGAGATAAGAACCAGGAGCGAGACTCGGTTTGATCAGAGTGAGACTCCTGATCAGGTTTACTGAGAGAGAAACACTTAGAGCAGAAACACAGACTGGTTTAATAAACACATCGTGTAGAAGAGAACTTATTTTTGAGCAACATCAGATCACTAGATGACCCCTGAGAAGCCCCCCGTTAAACACACTTATTACCTAATACATAAAAAAACAAAAACAAAGGGTTGGTTGATGGATTTCTAAATCCGTAAAGAGTAAAGAGTAAAGAGAAGTTTGAACGTACAATATGTTGAATTTGATGACAATGTTTACATAAAATATAAATTAATTTAAAATGGACTAAACTTATGTTATAAATATATATATATGTTGTTGTTGAGTACTTACACTACCTGAAATATTTCCAACAGTTATGAAAGCCAGAGAAATCCGTAATTTTAGAATTGTAACATGACATGTTTTGTCGTGGCGTCCGCCATGATAAGCCGCCATGCTGCTAGCGTAGCTGACATGATTGACAGGTGGCCGCGGTTTAACGGTCTTAAACCCCGCCTCAGCTCCAGCTCTCAGTCTGTCGTTAGGTTGACAAAAAGTTAGGCTGAGACAGGATTTCCAACATGGCGGCTGCTGCTGATGAGCCTCCAGCGCCCCCTGCAGGAACAGATGGCTGACATCACTCAGGCTTTGTCCATTAATATTTACAGTCTGTGCATAAAACTACTAAAAAAAAGCGTCCTGAAATGTTCGGGGAGAACACAAACAGGTTACTGTGTCTCAATTCTAGCAGTGGTTCCCAAACTTTTCTGCTAACTTGTATCTAAGAAGCCTCACCCCCCAATACCATCCATTATCTTTATCGCTTTTCCCGTTGGGGGTTGCGGGATTCCTGGTGCCGATCCCAGATGTCATTGGGCGAGAGGCGGGGTACATTTAGTGACATATAGAGACAGACAACCAGTCACACTCACACCTACGGGCAATTTAGAGTCACCAGTTAACCTAACGAGCATGTCTTTGGACTGTGGGAGGAAGCAGGAGAACCTGTCTCCTGACTCCTGTCAGACGGGGATTCGAACCAGGAACCTCCTTGTGAGGCAACAGCGCTAACCACTGCAATTGTTTTAATTAGAATCTGAATTCATCCAGACCCTTGAATAAAGAATTGAGTAAATATTTTAGCATTATTAAAATTTTTTGACATCTCCTCACAGCAGACCCCCCCTCCTCCCCCCCTTCGTAGAAGAGCATATGGATAAAGTAAATCAAATGTACTAACGTAGGATGCTCCTGAACTGAACTGTCAATGTCTACAACCATGTCTATACAAAGTGTGTGTCTGTTATCAACCAAAATAAAGTTATTCAATATTTAATCTGAACATTGAGGGGTAAAAATAATCAGACATTTTGATGTTTTGGAAGATAAGTTTGTGTTTTTTTTATTTTTTTTATTGATTCTGTTGTTTTGTTCTGCCGTCAGTAATCAATGAACACTCCAGCACCATGCGCTGTGTTCCTCCTGTCATCATTATTTCTGTTTCTGATTACGTCTCAGAACTTTATTTAACCACACGTACATGCACACACACACACACACACACACACACAGATAAACTTTGCCTATAGAGGAAGTTGTTTTGTCGTAATTTTTGCTGAAACATTCACTTCAGGGAAAAAAAAAAAGGATAAAGCACATTTACAGTCGTGCAATTTTGCGTGTTAGCAAACAGCCTCCAATTATCTCCTGTTTGATTGCGTTCCTCCATCAAGGTGAGCGATTAGACCAGCGCTCCTGTGAAGCTCTGGAAGCCGTCCTCAAATCGCTGCACTTTGATTTCATCAATCTGCAGGCGGCACAACTGGAGGAAAATGTGAGTTTTATGAGCAAAACTTGTTTTCTTCATCTTCGTCTTCCAATTCCAACACAGTTTCATATTCAGGCCCCGGCCCCGGATCAGATTAGAACACGTTTTTTTCTTCAGAAAGAACTTCATAACATTCCTGTCAAATTTGGAGCCCGGCTTTCTTCATTTTTTCCTCCTCACTCTGTTTTCTCTCGCAGGGAGCCGCGTCCTTGCTGGATATGATTTTGTACTATGAATCTACAACCCATCTTGACATTTCTGACAACGGCAGTATGGGAACATCGTGTTGGAGGGCCCTGGCTCATTTGATAAAGCAGGTTGGCTGACGCGCTGGAATAGTAATCTTCTCTTGTAGGCTTCCTCGTGGGGGAAGAGGAGGGGAGCGGGGAGGGTAATGTACATCAGGAAAGTGAGTTTGTTTCACATTACACACGCTGAAGATGCACTGTGGAGCAAACAGGGCCTGAAGTTCTCCCTCTGTGAACGACAGCACGAGTACATCAACACAAAAAAACGTCTTCACAAACAGATCCACGCGTTGCTGCAGCTTCACAGTTAGCATAAACAAAGAACCGGTTGGCCGGGAGGCGAGGAGCAATCATCCAGCATGAATACACGTGTCGATGTGATCAAAAGAACAGTGTCGAGGCTCAGAGCATCACTTACAGTTCTCAAGTTAATGTGATGACGCTCTATTTCCCAGAGTTTCACTGAACGTTATCTTCAGGTCTATAAGATTAAAAGCTGCTGCAGAGATGGAGAAGAAGACTTTTTCATGTATTAAGTGACTGAAAAGCTTATGGTCATGATTTATATCAGGGGCTTCTCCAGAGAGGTGGCCATGGGGTGGCATCTCCCCCCAAAAACATCTCCCCCTTACATACATTATGATTGGCTATTTACCCTGTCAGAGGCGGGACTTATGTTAAAATCACAGACCCTGGCGAACAGGCTGCGAATAGTTTTCTTTACATGATGAAGTAGTAGATTTCCCTTTGTTATTGTTCCATCAACCTTAAAAACTTAAGAACTTTTAGCCATCCATGCATACCACATCAATGCAGAACTCAATATGTAAATCAAGTGATATTTTCTAAGGAGAATAAAAAAAATGTGTTCTATCGGTTCTGTCTTCTATCTTACATCCTCTCCTTCCTTCTTTGTGTTGCACATTGAAATGAACTGCTTCTTAATGCATTAGTGTGTATTAACTGTGTGCCTGCACCATGTGTGTGTGTGTTTCAGAGTGTGCGTCTGTCCAGACTGGATGTGTGTAACGTTCCTCTGGTCGACTACCCAGCTCAGTCTCTGTCTAAAGCTCTGCTGACCGGCCGGCTCACAGCGCTGCATCTCCACAACGCCCAGCTCAGCGGAGTGCCTCTGTACACACTGAGTATGACACACACACACTCACACACGTACAAACACACACACACACACACACGCTGAGCAGTGTAATGCCACATAGACACTCTTTCATGATACAGTGACGTCATGTTTGTTTGTTAAATCATGTTTGTGTGAAAGTGTGGACAGTGTGTATGCTTACATGTTGTGCATTGTCTGTGTGTGTGTGTGTGTGTGTGTGTGTGTGTGTGTGTGTGTGTGCGTGTGTGTGTGTGTGTGTGTGAGCATGCGTGTGTCCTGTGGCCAGCAGGACCAGATTTTGACCGCTGACCCTCTCTGCAGGTCTGGACCCGGATTAGAGGCCTAATCTCTTACCTGTCACTTTACACACCGCTGCACACTTCTACGCTTGCTCTGTCAGCCAGGACACGCACACACACACACACACACACACACACACACACACACACACACACACACACACACACATTCTACACCTGGGGTCTGCTAAAGTCTCTAAAACCAAAAATATAAAATGAAATGAGCACATTTTTCATTTGACATATTTAATAACCATTCCACTAAAAAAACATGGGAAGTCACTTTTTCTAAAATCCTATTCCTCTGTTTTTAGCAACTTTATAAGTAAGAATAATATTTGCTGTTATAATTGATATATAAAGGATCATGTGATATTTATGGTCTTGGTCTTGTCTCGGTCTCAGAGCAATCTCTGGGGTCGGATATGTCTCGGTCTCGGATAGTGTGGTCTTGACTACAACACTACCATTGCAGACCTCTTCCAAGGATCTTGCATTCGGAAACCATATTTTTGGAATAAATGGTCACAGCTTGGCCGCTGACTTCAAAATCAACTACAAACATGTTCAAGTTCAGAGAAGTCCACTCGTCTAAAGAAAGGAAAACACTCAGAAAAAACAGTAAAAATTGAGCTCGATCTATTTAAAACAGCTCAATACATGACCTCGGCGTCTGCAGGTAAAGGAGTGTGACCAACGTTAACAGTGCATTCACTCCTACTTGCACGTTGCACAGCATAGAAACACTTGATTTGTTACGCACAGAACATTAAAAGTGTCATTAGAAATATAAAAGACAAAGCAGGGGCTCCACTTTTTGCGGTCTGCTCTTTGACCTTCATTGACTGACAGCTTCTTCTTTGGCGAGTACACACAAACACGGTTAATGGACGAGTGTATGGATAAATAAATACACTCACAACGGGTGAACACTCAGAGGGGGGTTAAGTGCTGGACATGGATGGACACACATGAACTCACACACACTGACAAACGAATACACACACACACACACACACGCACACACACACACACACACACACACACACACACACATACACACACACACACACACACACACACACACAAAGCAGTTCAAGTTCAACAGTGGTGGTTAGTAAACGGCTTAAGATTCAATTATTTTGTTTTTGATATTCCAACTAAAATCCCTTGCAAGGACAATTTTCAGGCTGGTCTGAGATGCAGTGTGATGGTGAAAACAATCTCTTTCTGACTTTTCTTTGGGACAAAAAAAATCCAAACTGGAACTCAGGCGTCTCTTCTCGTCTCAGCTGGAGCAGACAAAGATCTAAACGGACTCAGTGTGATGTCCACTCTTCATGACAGAAACTTCTCCAACATTTTCCGCTGTTTCCTGGATCTCTTTGATATTTTAGGGTCTCACAACCTCCCTCCTCCTCCTCCTCCTCCTCTTTCCACACTCAACCTCTTCCCCCTCCGTCCTCCCTGTCTACACCGAGCCCACCTCCACCTCCCCTCCTCCCCTCCCAGCAGGGAGTCCCAGCTGAGGATCATTGCCTTCGATCCAAGGGGGCCTGTGATTGCAGGATTGGGCGCTGGTGGTGGAGTCGACCGGATCAATCCCACCGATTCCAACATTTGGTTCCCACTGTGCCTGATGACAATGTTGGCATTCCACATGCAGCCCGGCAGGCCTGATCAAATCTGTCGCATCGATCTGGACACAGGGGCAGGGAGGGCCCACAAACACTGACACAGGAGACACACAGTACAGTACACCAAATATAAACACACAGGGAGAGAGCCAAAACACACACACACTCACACACACACACAAACACACACACACACACACACACACACACACACACACACACACACACATTATATCTCTCTATTAAACATGTAATAAAGAATGGTATGAAAGGAGTCCAACATGCAGAAATTTGGAGAGTGGGTCTTGAGATTTGACGAGTGTTTTATGAGGTCTGCGGTTCTAAAAGAGTCCCAGCTCCGCCTCCAACAATGGCTCCTCCACGTTTCTGAAGGAGTGCCACTTGATCTTTAGCGCAGTAATTTGCAGGAGGCAGAGTTCCTGCTGTGTTCTCGTTTTCATGCTCAAGTTCACTCGCCTTCAATCAGCCTGCTGCCGCTCCAACCTGCAGGCTCCATGTTTGGCACGATGGATCATATCTAATACCACTTTAAAGAAATCCATATGTCTTAATTTAGAGAGGAGGGGATGGGGTTGAGGAGGTGGTTCCATCTAAAGTTTGGAGAGAAAATGTAACCTCACACTCCGTGGGTCCTCCTCACTGCTAGCTTCTCTTTAATCTTTGTGAACAGATAAACTGAACATGAACGCAGAACTTGTAGAAGCAGGAATAAGATTTTTGTTGTCAGAAGTTTGGTGGTTGTATGGACTAAAATTGCCGTCATGGCATCATATGCGCTCCTTTACAAAGATGCGAGTAGCACTGACTTTAATATTTAAATGAGATCTATTATACTTACTTTGAGAATTTCTTATGTCAGTCTGGGACACCGATTGAGTAGCGTTGCGAGATGTGTAGCTCAAAAACCTCCTTACTAATCTGATACTGGCGTCAGTAAAACCCCTCATTTCATCCTATGCCTGAAACGCTTCATTTCAGCTACTGTCTCTTTAAGGCCCTCACCTCTCCACGTGCCCACTTTCCTCCAATAGGCCAGCTCTGTCTGCAGTTGCAGGGAAATTTGAGGGGCGTTTTCCTTGAAAAAGAGCTGCCTACAACTTTTCTCGAATAAGTCAGCAGAACAAGTCTTGCAAAGTTCTCGTAGCGTAATAGATCTCCTTAAATATTTAATCTCATAACCTCCGATAAAAATCAGGATACTGATAAACTAAGGTAACCATCTGGGCAATATAGAGAGGAGAGCAGGTTCCTTAATCAGAGTTACAGCCCCATCTAGTGGCAGGCAGCTGTGTTACAGCTTAGACACAACATTTACATTCATCGCTGGCCTTTCAGACTGAGCTCAGGTCACTTGGGTTGGGGACCGGTTCAAGTCCTGGTGCGGATCAAGTCTGGAAATTAGTCCGGTAGCTGGAGACGTGCCAGTTCCATTCTTGAGCTTTGCTGAGGTGCCCTCGAGCAAGGCACCAAACCCCCACTAGCTCATGTTCAACAACAGTGTGAAATTGAATTTCCCCTTGCAAGATGATTAAAATGATATCGTCTTCTAATTTTTAAAAATACCAATAGTTAGATTAACAGACCAGTAATTCTGATGCAGACTGGTGAGGCTGATCATTTTATCTTGTAGTCGATGAATCACACATACTTGTACTCTAAGGGATTGAGGTACATTTAGTATCCTCTTCCTGATCTTTTTATATCTCTCTATCATTTTCTGTCTTCTAGTCAGTGCACTAAGGTCAAACAAAGCTTTGATAGAGCTCCACCTCACCGACAACCAGCTGAACAGTTACCAGGACGCTCTGCAGCTCGGAGACCTGCTGCGATACAACACCACCTTACAGACGCTGCAGCTCAGCAACAATGAGGTTGCAGATGCTGGTAGGAAACTCACCTCCATAACTGAACAACAACAATATTATTAACTCAAACTTGAAGTCATGAACTGCGTTAAATGTCTTCCTTACAAAAGCATGCCTATGTCATCTGAACTATGCTAATTTCTCTATTCAGAGTCGTTTTGTAGCTAGCTAACAATGGGAGCAAAGGCTGAGACCAAAAGACAAACTGAAACAGCCTTCAGCTGGTGTTGTCATGTTTTTTCCTCTCCAGGTTTGGAGGAGTTGTGTGATGGTCTGAGGCACCAGACTGCAGGTCTGAAGGTCTTACTGCTGAGGAACAACCAGATCACCGCAGGCGGCATGGTACACCTCGCCAAAGCTCTGGTGAGGAAGCCAATCGTTCTTACCCTTCAGATTTAAAGTCTTCAGGCCCTGACACACCAAGCAGACGACAAAGAATTAGTCTTTGTCTTGGCCAAAAAGATGCACTTGAACCGCAAAGACTACAGCTGACGGCCAACCACCACGTATGTTCTGTGCATGCCAGCAGGCGGCGCTAGTCGGTAATCGCCATTCTAAAAAGGGGAAACCTGAAGAGGGCGAGGAGGGAGAAGAATGCGGATATATAAACCGTTGTTGTGATACGAGAAGACCATATAAGTAATATAAGTACGTCTAATCAAGAATAATGTCTGATAAAAAGTTGAAATTGTTTACTTGCTTTTGTTACTATTGTTTTTCATCTTGTGCACTGATTCGCTAGGCTTCACAGCCAATCAGAGTCATTGCTTTCACCAACCGCGCAGACACAGACACAGATTAGAATCGGCTTAGAAAAGGCAGGTGGGGGCCGACGAGTTGCGACGGAGCTGGGCACTTCACAAAAACTAGGGTGACGTTTGTGGGCCTTGGTGTTTCAGGGCCTTTCTAGTACAATATTTCCTCTGTGTCGCTGTCCCTCCTTCGCTGCTCATGAGAAAAAATATCCTAGGAATATAATGCCAAAAACACTCTTTGGAAGACTTCCACTCGATCCAATCTGACCATAAAGTTCTCACAACGGCTAAAGTGCTAAGACTAATACCTGCTTTCATCTAGAGCCAGAATTTAGGAGCTGAACAGTATTCGGCCTCAAACAGAGATGTCCCCCTTTAAAACATCCCGCCTCCACTCCGCACGCTCCTAATAACATGCATTCCTTCCGCCTGATTGGCAGCATAAACTGCACCTTCCTGTCATGTGAGTGGCGATTGTGGAAGTCAAAAGGCTGGAAATTAAAGGCCCGCGTGGCACACACACTCACACTTACACTCACACTTTCCCTGTCTCCTCCAGTGATACCAAAAGAAGAAACACTTTGATTAAATAATAGATGTGCGTTAAGGAGGGCTGCTCATGTGGCCTGCCAGTCACAGGGATAAGTAGATGTCCTCTCAGGCTGTAATGATGATAATTAGACCCGTAGCTGGTTGTGTGGAATATGATGAAGAGGAGAGCTGTTATTAACCTTTCTGTTTGGTGCTTTTCCTCTCGGCTTCTTATAGGAAGAGGAAGACAGGGGTGTACATTTTGGCTTCTTATTCTCTTGACTGTCACTTCCAGGGTTAGTCCAGCAACATCTAAATATACTATAAAACTATTTTCCTGAGGCCCGTATGTGATGCACGACTTCTTTTTTATTTTTTTTGTGTGTGTATGTGTGAAAGCATTGTGTGTTTTGGTGGTTTGTCACTCCTTCACCCACCCTCGCCTGTTTTCAGCTCCCCTGCAGAGCCATCACTTGCTAATGTTAGCTCAGAAACGGAGTCAGCCAAGGTCAACAGACAACTACGCTGCTAGCAAGCAAGTTCGCTAACATTTGTTTACTTGCTCCCGTGCATAAATTGCACGTTAGCTAATGTAACCAAATATATCTTTGAATAGATAATATCACAGATATATCCAGAAAAATTCAGCCTTGAGATGATTGGCTTTATGGCCAGAACATTGACTATAAGAGATGGACGGAGCAACAGCATTGAGAGAGAAGCCAAAATATTTAGAGATCCCCCTTCGGACTGGCTGCAGACCGCCTTGAGTCGGTTTGAAGCAGGTATCATTAAAACCCTAATTTCAGCCTCTGCCTGCTGCTGTCTCTTTAAGGCCCCCCTCCCCACGTGCCACCTTGCCTCTGATTGGCCAGCTCTCTGAAAGCCTTCCAGGGGGCAGAACGCTGCAGGGCTGCACTCCATTGCTGGGAGAAGCAAGCCTACAGTATATAAGAGGTTTCCTATGTAGAGGCTGGAAGCCGTCTGATTAAATTCTAGTTTGTCATATCAGGGAAATATGGCAGTCAGACTCTTTCTAAGGCCTCCAACATGATGATGCTGTTTTCTCGGATCACCTGGAACAGACGAAACACACATTGAACACACGTTACACTCACACTGTAATCTAGAAGATGATAATAATGGATGATCATTGTACTGACCAATAGTGTTCTGTTGTCAACTTTAGGTCAACTTTAACTAAAGGTAAATGGGTCAAACTATTAAGGTAAATTACTTCAACTTTAAATGTAACATGTCTCACTTTCCTCCATGGCAACACAGAAAGAACTGTACAATCAGAATACTCTCCGTTTTAAGGTTTGCAGATTGAAAGATCTGGAGAATAAGTAGCAAGACACTTAACTTAGCAAATCACAGAAGACTACAATGTGGAAAAAAATAGACCTGCAGCTGATAGCGTCCAATAAACCGAGCTGTTAATAACCCCTTTCTCTCCGTCCTGCATGCCTTGTTGAAGGATTAAGACAATGGGAGTCTACACGGGCCAAAATCATGTCTAAATTTAAAAACATAAAAAAGATTATTTGGTTAAATTGGTGAACATGTCACGCAGGCTTCTTGTTTTTCTACATTTTGTGCGTCTGGTGTTTTGTTTTTTTGTTTGAAGCCAGCATGTCATGTGTGAAAGCATACTGTGTTTTTGGTAGTTTCACACTCCTACCCCCCTCAAACTTCTCACTCCAACCCTCCTGTGGTTTACGTTTGACAGGCTTCAACCATGCTTGACTCTCACACACTCTCAACCACGCAGTCGCCTCTTTAATTGTCTGCTATTATCCCTCGTGCATATCCATCGGAGCCGCTCTCCCTCTCCTCCTCCCCTCTTCACCGGAGAAGCTTCTCGCCACGCGTTGGATGTGGCGTTGCCTCTCTGAGCTGCAACTCAGCGAGAAAAAAAAGAAGAGAGGAGGAGGAGGGGGGGGGGTCCTCTCAAGTGTGTTTGTTGTCACAGCGCTGCAAATTAACTCAGAAGAAGACGCTCTGTGGGTCTGTCGCTCGCCTTCCTGGCTTCCTTTCCACCCCCGCGCTCCCACTCTCTTCAGAGCAGTGACCAGAGGAATTTAACAAGGGTGGCGAGGCGAGGGGGCATCGAGGAGTGGGTGGTGCGTTCCTCTTCAAGCTGTTGGGCAGCATGGGCCTCTTGTGCCCCAGACACCCCCAGCTTTGTGCGCCAGCTAATCAACCTTCAATGCTAATGTGGCTCTGGAGAGAGGAAACAGAAGTTCTGAGCGTTTAACATGAGAGGAAACGGTTTGAAAAGGAATAATAATCACCGCATAATAATAATGATAATTAAAACTTCTCCGCCTTTTACACACTCACTCACACACACTGAAAGTCGCTCACTGCAGAGCCTCATTGTCGGGGAAAGTTTGGGGACATCATTTCAAAACAATCATTAAAAATCTGCAGCTCCATATATCCAGTTTCCAAAAAAACTTCTCAATATGACTCCCATGTTTTTGCAGCCGGTGCTGCGGGTTCTGCAGGTTCTGGATCTGGGCGAGAACCTCCTGGGGAACGAGGGGATCCAGGTGATCAGGGAGCCTCTGATGCAGAACACGTCGGTGCTGCAGCTCGGCCTGGCCAAAACAGACATCACCTGTGAAGGTACAAACATGTTCATGAGTTTAAAACTGAAGCAGAGAGAGTACATCATCCATAAAGACTATCAGGATGTTTTTTTAAATTTGCCTTTTGTATATATTTAATTATACAATTTCTGGTCGCTGTAGCCATGATAGTTTTAGTTTAGTTAGCATATGATTTAGTGAATTTCCCCCGTCTGGTGTATTGTTGTGGTGAAGGTGCGGTGGCGTTGGCAGAGTTCCTCGCCGAGAGTCATCAGATCGAGCAGCTTGACCTCTGTCACAACGAGGTGAAGGTCGGAGGTCTGATGGCGTTGTGTCTCGCTCTGAGGATCAACAGCTCTCTGACCACTCTGGATGTAGACCCTCACAGACCCTCACAGGACCAGGTAGGCACGGTTTTAACGTACTTATATGTGCGTAGAGATGTGTGTGTGTGCAGCTTTACACGGTTTGTAGCGTGTAGTATTTGTACTCGATGGTTGACAGAGCTGATTAGTGGCCAGAGATAAGTTCATGATTTGAGAGGTTAAAGAATGAACTTTTATACTCAACTTTTAAAAGCCAAAATGCACGAGAAGCAAGAAAAATGTGCTCGTGTGAATCATGAACTGAAAACTCACAGAAGAAATATGAACCCACATCCCAAAAGTCTAAAACACATATAAAACATGCACTCTGTGTATTCATTTGAAATGTAAGGGTGAGCTTTGTTGAACAGATGCAGAGAAACAGGAGCGATTGCTGAGTCTTCAACATGAGCAACAATTACTGATGCTGCTCATTATTGGTCCAATCCGATATTTTTCACAGCGGGGAACGTTTGTCTCTTTTTGTACAAAGACGATTACAGAGAGGAATTAATTTGTTGTTCATTTCCACAAATTTTATGGAGAAAAAAAAACTGCAGGATGTTTTTATACGAAGAAAGAAGACAATGGTTATCAGCCCTCGTCATGCGGTAAATATATAGGACAGACTGAATACTAAATAAAGCAGAGAATCAGCTGTGATCTATGAGACTGTAGAGACAAATGTACAGATTTAAAAGATGCAGAGACATAAAAACTCTTCTTATAGACAGAGCGATGTCACAGCTTGTCAAAAACAAAGAGTAGACCCAAGTGCAGATTTGATCAAAAAGGCTAAAGACAAATAAGGCAGACGTATTGGGCTTTTTACGACTTTATTTTAGAGATAGGACAGTTGAGTCAGAAATCAGGGAGAGAGACATGACATGCAGGAAAGGAGCCATAGGTCGGATTTGAACCCGTGGCTGCCCGCCTGGAGGACCACAACCCCCATACATGGGGCGCACGCACTACCCACTATTCTACTGGCGCCCCCATAAGGCTTCTTTTTAACAAATCCAACAAGGAAAGAACCAAGAGCCATAAGGAAACTACAAAACAGGAACATTGTCAGGAGAAAGTCTGACAATGAAGTGACCCAAAAAGGAAGCGACAGACTAAATACAATCAATCAATCCTCACAGGTGAGACTGACAGGTCACAGGTGAGATCAATCAAGAAAGGAGAGAAACCAGACAGACCAAAAACCACCAGCAGTAAAACTCCTTCCAGACTGAAGATGTTCAGAAACTCTGTTTAAGGTGTTTCTGTTTCGACGGGGAAAACTGATGGCAGACGTTAACAAACTAGCGCTGGTGCTAACGTTGCTAACTGGACTGTTTACACGCTCACACACACACACAAAGTTACTCTCCCACTATGTTGACGAGCAGAGACGCCTGGATGGACGCCTTTGTAAAAGGACATGGACATTGTAGAGGAATGGCGAGAACATTTTTCGCATGTCAAGGAAATGGTTTTTGACTTGGCGTGCTCATGACACAACAGTGCGTTTTGCGTTTTTGTGTGGATGAAGTTGTTTTTGAGAACTGAGCGTGATGACGGAGGAGGAAAAACTTCGGTTAAAGAGAAAATTCTTTGAACAGGAAATACACAGAGGTTAAAAAGCAACATGAGGGAACATTTCAAAATAAAACAGGAAATGGAATCCAAACCCTGAAATGAACAAAATATTAAACTTCACAGGAATAAATCATGATAAGAGGTGCTCACTGATTTTATTTAAAGCTTGCAAACTTCACCTGTACCTCAGGTGTTCTGTCGTTTGAGGTCTGATAGAACGTCTGCTGTCATAGTTAAGAGGATCTACTTTATGTCCATGAGCTCTGCAGGCCTTTAAACCACCCTCACTGCTCCTTCATTTGAATTCTCTCTCTAATCGCGGCTGAACGGGCGACTCGAGGACCACATCGTGTGTGTTGTGAAACACTCACTGTGGTCACAGATTTGTCACTTGGAGACAAAACGAAGTCATTTGTGTCTCGTTTCATCAGTGCTTCTTGTTTTTTTGTTTTTTTTGTCTCCTCCCATCGTGGCTGCAGAGGCCCGGGGAAAACGATGCCATAACTTTAATACATGCCCCTGCTGGATTCACAAAATAATTACCCACACTTGCCATCTGTTTGTCATGATTTTATCTCTGCTAACTTATTTGCATATTAAAGCATTAATTAAAATCTCTGAGGAGCGGGATGCTTACTTTAAAATTAACTCTGAAGGCGATCCGTGCACAGCTTCCAGAGTTGTTTTATTTTTGTTTGCAGTGGTTTTCTGTTTGTCTGCGCGTTGTTTACACGATTAAGTCTGATTTTTATGAAATGTCTCCTCTGGCTAAAGTCAGACGGCGAGATGTGCCAGATTTCACAGAGGCGGCTTTTAAGAGCTTCTGTGAATGTGTGTCATTATAGCTGGGACTTCTTCTTCTTCTCCTTCTTCTTCTTCCTCGTCTTCCTCACTCCTCATGCACATGCACCAAAGCCTCCATATTGGCGGCTCTGTGTTCATGCCCCTCTAAGCCGCCCAGAGACGTGATTAGCATTCCCGCCATTGGTGGGAGTTAGTGCGGCTGGTATTTTAAGGGAATGGTAATAAGGGAATTTTTAAGCCCTGTCAGGTTTTGGAGTCACACAGCTGGGATTTGTCTTGGCGTGGCACATCCAGGTGGGAGGAGTGACGATTGTATTAAAAAGCAAATCTTTCCATCAGAAAACAGCGGGCAGCCAGATCAAGTGTTCTCGCTCAGTCACATCCCGGCCGCCCAGGAATACTGAAAATTTCATTCTTGTGAAGGGAAATAAGTGATGGTATGAATGTGAGCGAGTGACAGAGGGGGTTAGCGGCACTTTGTGAGCGCTTGTGTGTGTGTGTGGTTTTAGGAGCGTGCGGGGGGGAGGCGATTGAAGATGCGCATATTTAAAAGGCGAGAAGAGAAGGTGGCGAGAGGGGAGGAAATGTGGGGCTCTCTTGTCTTTGTTTACAAGAGTCTGATTTTTCATGTCTGTTGCCACGCTGCTGCATTTGATCACTGGCCTGTCTGCTGTTAATTATTAATTATTTACCCTCCTAAAATATTCATGCACCCGGCCGGGCGGGAAGCTGCCTCTTCCGAGGGGCAGCCGCTGAAGGTGGAGCTGTTTATTCATCCTGATCAGGGGCTCCGACAGCACGCTAATGAACTAAACTTCCTCTTGCCCGGCTCGCTCTTCATGGCGGCGCGGGCAAGAGGAGGACTCTCACGGCCTGTTTACCTGTTTGATGCTTCAATATTTGTCTTTGGATTTTTGTCCGCCGTGAGTCTGCGAGCGGTTTCCAGCAGAGATAACGCCGCTCTGTGTCCTCCGCTCAATGTCGCGCGTCGGCAAGGTGGAGTTGATACAGAACTGTCCCTCACTATGTCATAATTACATCGACATCGTGCGTGAGTGTGTGCGAGTGGGATAGTTGAAACAAAGTATTTGTATTTTCTGTCTTCACTCCACTACCTAAAACTTGGTGGTAATTTATCAGGTACACCTGTTGGATCTTTTGCAGTTCAATGCAGCAGCTCGGCATTTTCCACCTTTATTACCAAGTTTGCAATGTTCACTGTTTGTTGACATTGTCCTAATTGTGCAAATTTAGAGCCTGACCGTTCAGCTTCAGGGCCCAGGGCTAAGTTTGAGCCACATGACCAAGCAGGACGACGATAACAGCATGCTGAGATACTTTCCTTCCCCAGTTCTGTTGTGCGTCAGTGAGCTGAACTAAAGATAAAGAAATTGAGGGGAAGGCTCAGCTGTCGTAATTTTACCTCCTCCATATATTCTGGACAGGACAATAAAATAAGGCCAAAGATGAAACCTGCATTGACTCCTCAAACATCTCAGTGCACCAAAATGGATGCAGCTCTTTTCTTTATATGTGATGCTTATATGTGTTTATATGTGTGAACAAACATTTTTCAGGGGCAAATTCTCCAGGAATTGTCAGGAGTGCATATCTGGAAAAAAAAGGCTAATGACATTATTTTTTATAATCCTTGGTTATTTAGCCAGTCAGAAACATGCATGTCAACAGACGATTCCTGTGAGCTGAATTGTTTTATTCTTTATTTCCTTAAAGAACCTGCACTATAATCACCTAAGTTTAGTTCACTTTGGATTACTTCACTGTGCAGAGGTTCAGGAGTGACACCTGAGCCGAGCTACACGTGTCTGCGTCTCGTCTGTGGCGATCTCTGAGGGAAATGTTCTGCACAAAGAGCGGCGTGTGAAGGGTTCTTATTTTAGGCGCGGCGCGAAACAGAGAGGTCTCCTGGCGTGTTTTTTTGGGCTCCTTCCTGTCACGGTCAGTCCCTGCAGGGCGGCGGGGTGACACGACGGCCTGACCATGCATGTAGCCGGCGCTCAGGTTCCAGAAGCATCATGATGACATGGCTGCTCCGGGGACCCGAGTATGAAGGCAGACACCAGCAACCAGGCAGAACAAACCTCCCAGCATGCCTCACAGGGCAGCGGAGGAGGATCAGAGCAGGCAGGGCTGGGGGTGGGGGGGGGGGATGGAGGGGGGCACACTGATACCAGATCAGCCAGACACCTACTGGAACCACAACACAGGTCAGGGAGTGTGGAGGAGAGACAGGGTTTAACAACAATTTAACCAGAGAACAGCTCATTTCTCAAACCTTTAAAACCAAAAGTAAAATCTAATATTTCACCCAGTATTTAAATATGTGCTCTATAACTACAAAGACTCTCCTACAGAAAGAGGAAATGATGTATCTGAGTTATTCCCACCCTCAGTTCAAACTGAAGACATCGGTTTATTACCAAAGGACAGATGTGGGGGCTGCAAGGTCATGTAAAGTTAAAGCACAATTAATCAGATCATAACATACAGCATCGTTTTTAAAATTTGGCTTTTGAGACAGGTCATCAAAAAGGCAACAACTGGATAGCAAATTTGGTCAGAGGCTTCAAATGTGATTATCTAGGTACATGCGTTGTTAGTTGTGCATTTGCAGGCTCTTGGTCAAATAA